TTCTGCTGTGCATAGGGTTGTTATGAGTTGGTGCTGACTCAATGGCACCTAACAACAAGGTGTCAATTGAACAAGAGGACATAATAATAAATACATATGCCCTCAAAGAGCCTCACAGTACATAAATCAAACTTCAATAAAATTCAAGAAGGAAATAGTAGTAGCAGATTTTCACACACCATTTTTGATGAAGGACAAGAGAACTAGAAAGAAATCAACCAAGACGCAGAAGAAATAAAACAATAAACCAACTTGACCTCATATACACAGCACTCAACCCAACAATAGCACAATATATATTTTTTTTTCCAGTGCATATGGGACATTCTCCAGAATAGATCATATGTTTAGCCATAAAACAAACTTCAATAAATTTAAAAATGTAAAAATACTACAAGGCTATAAAATTAGAAATCAACAATAGGAAGATCAAGGACAAAAAACAAATACATGGAACTTAAAAGCTGCTGGATAATACATTAAATAAAATAAAAATAAAAATTTACTTGAGTCAAACGAGAATGAAAATACAGTTTACCAAAATCTTTGGGACAAAACAATCGCAGTTTTCAGAGGACAATTTATAGCAATAAATGCATGCATCCAAAAAGAAGCAAGAACCAAAATCAACACATTAACCCAACATGTCCAACAATTAGAAAAAGAGCAACGAAGTAAGCCTACTGCCAAAAGAAGAGAAGAAATAATCAAGGTTAAAGCTGAAATAAATGACAAGAACAGACACTTCACCAAAGAAGACATTTAGATGGTCAACATATATATGAAGAAATGCTCAAGATCATTAGCCAATAGAAATGCAAATCAAAAGAATAATGAGATGCCTGCATCAATACCAAAGTTTAAAAGAAAAACAGAAAATAGCAAATGCCGGCAAGGGTGTGGAGAGACTAGGACCTTCCTACACTGCTGGGACCGTAAAATAGTGCAACCATTGTGGAAAACGGTATGATGCTTTCTCAAAAACTTGGAAACAGAAATATTATATGACCCAGCAATCCCTCTACTAGGTATATAGCCTCATGAAATAAAAGCCATGACACAAATGGATATACGCAGATTGCAGCACTATTCACAAGAGCAAAAAGATGCTGAAAGCCTAAGTGCCTATCAACAGAAGAAAGGTTAAACAAATTTATGTGCATACACACTACAGAATACTATGCAATGTTGAAGACTAACAATGAGTCTCCAAAACACCTCACAATATGGATAAACCTGGAGGAAATTATGCTGAGTGAACTAGGTCAATCACAAAAGGGCAATCAGTGCATGAGGCCACTGTTGTAAAATATTACGAAAAGATTTTCTTTCTAAATGAATCATTCTATGATGCTTACCGGGAACTGGGAGGTTAGGGTGGTGAGAGAATTATTCATGGACTAGAGGGTAGACACATGTTAAGATAACGACAGGGCAGGAAATATACAATTAGAGTGAGGTTGGCGAAGGAAAGATGAAGGTAGCAGGAGACACAGGGAGGAATGCTAGAATGAAAGGAAATAGAGGTAAATATCATTAACTGATGGTACATGGAAGGAATTACAACCATTGTAATGAAACCAAATATGATGATCTTCTCTGTAAACCTTCACCCAATTTACAATAAAAACACTGGAACAAGATAAAGACAAAAGTGGATGTCAGAAGAGTCTCTGAAACTGTTTTTGAGCATAGAGAACCTAAGGCAATTGGAAGAAATGATGATGTGAGAGTGCTGAATAGAAAATATCAAAGGGTAGCTCAAGAAGACAAAGTATTATGCAATGTGCATAAACATGGAGTTAGAAAACCAAAAGTGATGAACATGCTCAACATTTCTAAAACTTAAATAACTGAAGAAAAGTTCAACCCTCAGGTTTCAATATTGAAGGATTCTATGGACAAAATATAGGAAAAATCAAAAGGAGATGGAAGGGATTCACAGAGGCACTGTATCAAAAAGTATTAGTCAATATATGACCATCTCACGAGGTAGGATATGATCAAGAACCGTTAGTATTGAAGGAAGAAATCCAAGTTGCACTGATGAAAAACATGAATTGACAGAATAAGCTGAAATATTTCAACAAACTGATACAAATAATTTGAAAAGATAGATTTTATGTAGAAGAATGTGGCAGCAGGATTGGAGGAAGACTCATGAACAACCTCCAGTATGCAGATGACACAACTACCTTGCTTGCTGGAAGTGAAGAGGACTTAAAATACTTACTGATGAAGATCAAAGACTACAGACTTCTGTATGGACCGTACCTCCATTTAAAGGAAACAAAACTCCTCACAACTGTGCCAGTAAATAACATCATGATAAATGGAGAAAAGACTGAAGTTGTCATAAACTTCATTTTGCTTGGATCAATCATCAACACTAATGGCAACAGCAGTCAAGAAATTCAATGATGCATTGCGTTAAGCAAATCTGCTGCAAAAGATCTCTTTAAAATGTTCAAGAGCAAAGATGTCTGTTTGAGGACTAAGGTATGCTTGATCCAAGCGATGGTATTTTCAGTCTCCTCAAATGCATGACAGGTGAACAACGAATAAGGAAAACCATAGAATATGCTAAAAGAACAAACAAATCTGTCTTGGAAAAAGTACAGCTACATGCTCCTTGGAAGTCAAGATGGTGAGACTTCATAGTCTCATACTTTGAACATGTTGTCAGGAGGGACCAGCCCCTGAAGAAGTACATCATGGTAGGGTAAAATGGAGTGTCAGCAAAAAAGAGGAAGACCCCTAAAAAAGATAGATTAACACAGTGGCAGCAACACTGGGCTCAAACACAACAATTGTGAGGATGGTGATGGACAAGGCGGTTTTTCCTTCTGTTGTGCATAGTGTAGCTAGAAGTTGGAACCCACTCAATGGCACCTAACAATAACAACAATCTCCTCTTTCTTGGCACACTTTTTTTTTTTTTTTTTTTTTAAACTTTCTCTGTTTTTTAACTCTTTATTGTGATTTGGATAAAAGTTTACAGAGCATGTTGGTTTTCCATCCAACAATTCATACACACTTTGTTTCATTGCATTAATTGCAATCCCACAATGAAACACCACTCTTCTCAATTTCTCCCTTTCCATTTGTCTTTCATTCTTTCCCGTTACCCTTCTGAGCTTTATTCCTGGGCAAATAATGCCCTTTTGATTTCCTATAGTTGACTGTTGTCAGGAATGCATACCTCCATGATGTTATTGTTTACCTTATAGGCCTGTCTACTGTTTGGCTAAAAGTTGAGCTACCTGAGTGAGTTCAAGTTGAAAGGTAACTAATGGAAGATGTTACTTTCTTGTTGCACATTAAACTCATTTTTTACTTTGGAATATTGATATACAAGATTTGTCTTGAATTTATCAGAGACTTATAATTTTATAGAAAGTTCACAAATGTTGAAGCTTGACACAGAAGTTCTGAATCCCAGAACTATCGCTAACGAAATGTTATTGTTGTCATTAGGTGCCATTGAGTTGGTTCCTATTCATATACACCCCAACAGAACGTAATAGTGCCTGGTCCTGCTCCAACCTCACAATATAAGTTAAGCTTGAAACCATTGCAGTTACCACTGTGTGAATCTATATTGTTGCGCTTCTTCCTCTTTTTATCTGACCCTCCACTTTACCAAGCATGATATCCTGATGCCCTTTCTTTCTGCTTTTTCCCAGGAAACCTATTTTCTTTTACATTTTACTTATCACTTGCAGGCACTTTACCTTCATACCCATTCTATCTTCTCTCCTCATTGACAGACACTCTCCCAAAGGCCTGTTCCACATATCTATCTGGATATCCCACTATTGTTTTTAGATGCTGTGCTGAGTTGGTTCCATCATTGTGACTTTATGTACAACAGCATAAAACACTTCCCAGTCCTGCGCCATCCTTATACTTGTTGTTATGTTTGGGTCCATTGTTGCAGACTCTGTTGTTTGTCCATCTTGTTGAGGATCTTCTTCTTTGGGCTTATCCTTTACCAATTATTATGTCCTTCTCCAGGGACTGGTTCCTCCAGATAACATGTACAAAGTAAATACCTTTTGGTCAGTATATTTAGTGGGTAATTAGAAACCGTAAGACAAACAACCTATGTAGCAAAGGGAGATAATTTCCCCTCTGTGAAACACTTTGTTAGGTTTTTGTTTTTTTCATGTTTTACTTTTTCTGGAACAACAACAACAAAAAAAATCAAGTGAGAATTATACTTTACCCGTAACTCCTTCCTCAGGTCTTCATTCTTGCACTCTTTCAGTTGATTAAAAGCATCATCAACCAAGTTATCCCTTCTAACTATTAGATTCAAGATGGCCATCAAAGGGGTTGTAGAACAATACGCACTCTGTTTCACATGGAAAAGCAGAAACGTTTTACTCCATTTTGCTATTGGTCTTTTCTAAGTAGAAATTTATAAAGTGGAATAAATTGGCTCCGTTTATAAATGCACATCATAAACATTTATGAAAAGGGATTTATTCTCAATGGAAATAAGCTATGCATTCAGTTTTCACTCTCACCAGCACTCATCCAGCTGGCAGTACACTAAAAGGGGACATTTTTATCAGCTTTTATGATGGCACCATCACAGAACACCAATCATTTCTTGGGGTCAATCTTAGTGAACCTAAAGTCAAAACGTCTTTCTTTACATTCTAATTTCAAGTATCCTCTGCCACTTTTAAATGGATTTCCTTAAATATTGGGTGTTCACCAAATCTAATCCAAGTATGTCATGACTTTTTCAGTATTATTCAGAAGACTACAAACAACCAACTTAAGGTGAAAGCCCTACAACTAGGTCAGTGGCCCAAGCTCTATCCTTTGCTAGTGAGGCCCTAGCAGGATAGTGAGGCCCTAAGACAAAATGTATTGCTACATATATTCATGTTGTTGTTGTTCTTAAGTGTCATGAGTTGGCTCCAACTCATAGTGACCTTACGCACAACAGAACATAACAATGCCCAGTCCTGCACCATCCTCACAATGGTTGTGATGCTTGAGCTCATTCCTGCTGGCACTGTGCCAATCCATCTCATTGGGGGTGTTCCTCTTTGTCGCTGACCCTCCACTTTACCAAGTATCATGTCCTTCTCGAGGGAATGGCCCCTCCTGATAATATGTCTGAAGTATGAGAGATGAAGTCTCTTCATCCTGGCTTCTAAGGAACATTCGGACTGTACTTCAACATATAGTGTTCTTCTGGTACTCCATGGTAATTTCAATATTCTTTTCCAACATAACTCAAATGCATCAATTCTTCTAAGGTCTTCCTTATTCATTGTCCAACTTGAAAATACCATGTTTTGGTTCAGGTGTACCTTAGTCCTCAAACAGCTATCTTTGCTTTTAAATATTTTAAAGAGGTCTGTGCAACGTAGTTGCCTAATGCAATAAATCGTTTGGTATCTTGACTGCTGCTTCCATGAATGTTGATTGTAGATCCAAACAGAATGAAGTCTTTGACAACTTCAACCTTTCCCCTGTGTATCATGATGTTATTTATGGTCCAGTAGTGAGAATTTTTGTTTTCTTTACATTTTAAGTCTCTTTATTTTCAGCAACCAGTCCTGATGCCACACTTTTCTTCATATAGTCCAGCTTCTTGGATTATTTGCTCAGCATACAGATTGAGTAAGTATGGTGAAAGTACACCACCCCAGCGTACATCTTCCCTGATTTTAAACCATTCAGTATCTCCTTGTTCTGTTTGAATGACTGCCTCTTGGTCTATGTACAGGTTCTTCATGAGCACAATCAAATGTTCTGGAATACCCATTCTTCTCAATGTTGTCTATAGCTTGTCATGCTCTGCACACTCAATAGCCTTTGCATAGTCAATAAAGCACAAGTAAAAATCTGTCTGGTTTCTCTGCTTTCAGCCAAGATATTTCTTACCTTAACAATGCTATCCCCAGTTCTACCTCCTCCTCTGAATCTGACTTGAATTTCTGGAAGTTCTTTTTTTGTACTGTTGCAGCCATTTTTTAATTGTCTTCAACACAATCTTATTTGCCTGTGATATTAATGATACTGTTCCACATTCTATTGGGTCACCTGCCTTCATAATGGGCACAAATATGGATCTCATCCAATCGGTTGGCATAGATGAGTGAGCACCTCCAGTGCTGCATCAGTTTGTTAAAATATTCCCATTGTATTTCATCAATTCCTGGAGCCTTGTTTTTTGTCAATAAGTTCAGTGCTGCTTGGACTTCTTCCTTCAGTATCATCAGTTCTGTATCAGATGCTACCTCTTGAAATGGTTGAGTACTGACCATTTCTTTTTGGTAGAATGACTCTATGTACACCTTCCATCATCTTTTGATGCTGCCTGTGTCATTCAATATTTTGCTCAGAGAGTCCTTCAATATTTCAGGTCAAACTTTGAGTTTTTTCTTCAATTCTTTCAGCTTGAAAAATGCTGAGTGTGTTTTGCCCCTTTGGTTTTCTAACTCCAGGCCTTTGCACATTTTAGCCTACAAGATTGTTAGTGTGTTCCCTTTGGGTTTCAGTCTTAGAAAGGAGTTGACCCTAACTGGCTGACTTCTTGCCTTGATGGCTCCACCTCAAAAAGTTTGCTTGATATTGTCAGAGCCAAACAGTCTGCTTCCTCCCCCGATGGTCTTTCTTTCAAGAAGTATCTGTTCCTCTACCCATTCTGGGTTGGTCTGCATGTCTTTTCAATTTGGAATGTACCAACTCAGAAGGTTCTGGATGGGGCTCAGGATTCCATCTAAGTGCCCAACTTCACAAAGGCTTATTAAGCAGCTTATTTCCCTGGGCATATTCTAGTTCTCTTTAGGATAATTCAATCAGCTATATGCTGAAGACGGGCTTACCAGCTTTCTGTAATCAGCTATCCCAGTGTTCCTTTCTATCCCACTTAAATGTCTATATTACAATAGTAGTCAGGGGAAGCCAATAGTCACCAAACAGTCAAGAATCTTAACATTATTTCCCTTCCTTTAACCATTCAGGCTGTCTCTATCCCTATATCACAAAGTCCTGTTGTTCCAAGGCTGTGCATTCATCACACTCTACCTCTATCCCATTTAGCCCATGCATACCTCCCTAAGTCTCCCCCTATCATCCCTATTTATCTACACCCTCTCTTCTTGTGCATTGACCTCCTCTTTCTTTTTATTGCCCTCCCCTATCATGCAGCCAGAGTGCTCCTTGGAGGCCAGGATGGCCAAACTTTGTCTCTCATACTTCAGACGTATTGTCAGAAGGGACCAGTCACTGGAGAAAGATATCATGTCTGGTGAGGTGGAGGGTTGGAGAAAAAGAGGAAGACCCCCAGTGAGATGGATTGGCCAAGTGGTAGCCTCAATGGGCTCAAGAGTGGCAACAATTGTGAGATTGGCCCAGGATTTGGGCAGTGTTTCATTCTGCTGTGCATAAGGTCGCTATGAGTCGGCACCTAACAACTACAACAACCTATCATGCGTCTATGTCCTAACCTGTGAATTACTGTCCTCTCGTTCCCTCCCCTAGTAACCACCAAATAATTGTTCTTTTAGTATGGAAATCTTTTCTTAAGCTTTTACAATAATGATCTTATGTAATATGTGTCCTTTTGTGCCTGACTAATATCATTCAGTATAATGTTCTCAAAGTTCATTCAAGTCATGAGGTGTTTTGCAGCTTCATCAGTATTCTTCAAGGTAGTACAGTATATCGTTGTGTGTATAAACCAAACTTTGTCTATCAGTTCTTACGTTGATGGGCACTTAGGCTGTCTCCATCTTTTTGTTATTGTGAATAGTTATGTGATAAATATTGGTGTGCATATATCTACATTGGAGTTCTGGCTCATATTTCTTATAGCTGTATACCAAGTAGAGGAATTGCTGGATCATAAGATGTTTCTATTTCCAACTTTCTGAGGAAGAACCATATCATTTTCCAGAGTGGCTGAACCATTTCACAGTTTCACCAGCATTGCAGGAGAATTCCAGGGTCTCCACACCCTCGCTAGCATTTTTTGTCCTCTGGCTTTTTTGAATTTTGCTGTTACTGCTGGTGTGAGATAATATCTCATTGTTGTTT